CTCTCTCATCACGATATTGTAGTTCAATCTCAAACGTCTCACTATTTCCTTAATGTGCTGCTTAGCTTCGATGATGGAGCATTTAATTGCTTCGATTGTTGATATTTGCACCTTATTGAGTTTGGGATTAATCATGAGTTAAGGATTGCTCACTCCATTTAGACTTCGACCTCCGTTGGCCTTGTCTCATCTTCGAGCTCCAGTGGACTCTGTGTGCAGAAAATGTTTCCTCTCGTTGAGGACTCAAAATCTGGACAATCTTCAGTCTCAGAACAAGATTTTGGTCCTGAGCAGCATCCGACATGGAAGACTTTTCGAAGTTTTTACTGGAATTGGTTTTGACTACGGGGAAGATGATCGAGCACTCGGAGGAAGAACTTTCTGATGGGGACCAGAAAACGATGCGAATTCTCCGACGGTCTGGAATTTTCGAGAGATTTTGGATTATGACGAATCATCAGGAGATTAAGAATGCCCATGCGATAAGTGAATGATTATTTGTGCACCTGCTCGAGCACAGCGAATCTCTTCCCGTAAGAGCGGCTTAGAACTCTGTCGCTAAGGGAAATAATCAGATCGAATGCTCCTTCGACAGCATAGTCCCCTAGAAGACGATGGGAAGTGGGCCATCCTCCGACTCGAGCTTCTCTGGCGACGGTTCCCTGGCAGCTCGACTTAATGATGAGACATAGCTGAACGGTGGTCTCACTGTAGGCAACGCACGCAGACAGAAGCCCAAGCGACCCGACATGTTCTTCCTCCACGCAGGTGGCACAGATTTCCACTGCCGCTGTGCCCGTCGTGTGCATGATGGCGGCCGCACATCCGGAGCATTTGGACTCCTCTCTGACACTTGACAGTGGATCTGGTTTTTCGTTGCAGCACCGAAGCTCGTCGTTTACAGCGACACAAACATGCCCAGAAACGTTTCTGCTCTCGGACAACCTCGTGAAGGTAACATGGCTCATAAATTCTCTTGGTGTTGAGTGTGAATTATCACAATTGCCTGTAATGGAAACAGTTTGTGGTCTGAGTTTTCATGTTGTTGGATGGAGAATGAGTGTTTTATCCTGATCATTCAATTTCAGATGTGGGGTGAGTGTAGCCGGCATTTATCAGGGTCTCAAAGTAAAAGACTGTGAATGGATTTTAACTATGTTCGAGATAATATGGAGATCATGGATAGACTGTTTGGATGTTTACGGGAGAAAGTGATCTAGAGCCTAAATAGTATATGAAAATTGATAGTATTTCATGAAAAATGTATATTTAATTCTAAAAAGCGGTTGACCTTGGTTTCGAAAGAAAGATCATGTTAGTCGATGAGGTTTGGGATGTTGTTTGAATAACAGTTTACTTTCTTTGTCATAGATTGTAGATATGCATAATTTATTCGCCATTGTGATACTCTGCCTAGCGCTTAGTTTCTGTTTTGTTTCTTTCTTGTAAAGGTTGATTGGGTCTTACATCCATTTTCCTTTACTTTACTTGGGTCCCTTGATCTTCAGGAGAATTCCTGGTGAAGAATCAAGTATATTGTGAGAATGGTTGATCAAAGCGAGCTTGCGAAAATCAGGACCTGTCTCATGTCTCAGAGTGGATCTCAATTTGACAAAACAGTACCAGAAGGGGGGATCAGACCTCCAAATGGCTTAGTTAGCCTGCTCGCTGGCAAACCAAGAGAGAGACAGTAAGAACCAAGAGGTTCTCTGTTCCACTAGTTCTGGCATGCACTTTTCAACTAGCCCATCGACTGCAGCATCAGCAGCATGGTGCTCATCTCGATCGATGCCGATGGTCATTGTCATGCAAGCTACAGGATCGCACCAGAAAAACATGAGAACAGATCGGGCTTGGGATCCGTACTTTCCCTGGCTTCCGTGAGTGCATGTTCCAAAGCATCCACCTGTAGATGGATGCCATGCCACTCCTCTGGCTCAATGAAGATTCCAACTGTCTTGGAAGTCAGAGCTTCATGATACCTCTGATTGCAGTCAGTTCTTTAACATCCACTACCTGCAGCTGTGCTTCATTCTATCTTCCGTTCAAAAGCTTCATAACTTTCCCGTCTTCTAGGACTCCATGTCCGATGCTCCGGATTGATCCGGAGCTGACATTTTCAGTAGCAGGCTGTTTGATTTTCGGAGAACTTACGGCTACTTCTCACCTGGAGACATTTCATGGATAGCTGTGACAATTGGTCATTGAAATCACATTGCTCGCTCACAACTCGTTTCTCCGTGTCGACACATAATTACAAATTTCCAGGAATCTCAAGAGAGGTGCGCTCCCTTCATTGGACTTTCTCCCTATGCACCGACTGATGAGTTACAGCTGGTCCTGGTGAACCAAATGTACTTCAGCCGTTGTTGTCCTTAAAATTACTTTCAGGTTGAAAATTGTTTGCGGCAGAACTCTTTGAGGAACTCAGAATGCGAGAATGGGGAAGTTTTGTGCTTCCAAGCACAAAGTGTTTCCTGAATGTTTCACTCCTCTTATCGATCGGAGAAACTTGCCTGGAGACCTTGGATCTTCGGTGGAGGTTCGCTGTCATGGTTCTATTTGTGAGTCCTCTGACATTCCAGTAGGGACATGCCTGCAAGTATGTGCGTCTAAAAATCGGGAAACGTCAGCTCTTGGCCTGAGGTTTGAGACTCATGCAAGAGCTTCACCGATTTCAAATGCGGAAACGCGAGTGTCCACATTCCATTTCCTTCAGCTCGACGAAGATGTAGAAGAACACGCTCAGCTTCGCCGAGTCTCAGACGACGGGTCAAGCCTCGAAGGTTCCGAGTACATAGCCCTATAAACTATCCACCTTATTCTCGCATATCCCTTCCTCCGGCAAGTTCAAGGACCCACTTCTTATATTCTCACGGATCTCAGTGCTGAGCTCCGAGTTACAGAGGTGTTGGATAACACTTCAATGACATGTCATGTCGTGATGCAACGTTAAATTCTGAAACTCTCAACATTTCAGGGATGATAATTAGTCTTCACACCTTCGCTCTGAGTCTGTATGACTTACTCTAAGTTACGTCGACGAAAGTGTACAGATCATCTATAGACAGAGAGAGTTCACACACTAGTGGAAGTCAAGTCTCAGTCGTCTACGACCTTAGTTCACAAAAGGCCTCACGTTTGCCAATTTCATTTACTAAAGTTTTGTGTGGAAGGGAAGAAACCAGAGACATAGCAGCTTTTACGCAATCAGATGACATCTTCTTCTCTACAACTTGACGACGAGAGGTACTCTTGTAGGAAAACCTCAGGTAAGGAGGACATGAATGTCTGATAAAGCCATGTACCATCATCTATCACGACTAAAGATCAGTCTCATGATAAGACATTAGCAAACTGTGCATATAACTATTCAAGCAAAGTGGAAAGTACCTCCCCTCGGGCCAGAGTGAGATTACTTCGAGTTTTCCTTTTCTTTCCATCCGCTTGTACAAACGTGTTTGAAAGTCATGCTGCTCATTCTTAACCGGATTTAGCCATTATTGATGCCGACCCAAACCGTGTCAAACTAGAATCATCCATTTTATTGAGCCACTGTAACAAATAAACAACCTTTGCAATAACGAGTGCAAGATCATGATTCGTGTGCATGACCTTTACGTCGGAACCAGTTTCTAATCTGCGTTCTGAACGGCTCTGTGTGCAGCATGGATATCATAAAGTACGAGGTGTGGGTCCTTGAACCTATTATCACCCCACGGGAGATTCTGTGACAGTTGTGTTCTAAAGATATGTGAAGATGGGAGAGGTTTGCGTTTGAGATTCGGCGAAACTTGAATTGCATCCTGTGAAGGTGTTCGGAGTCGCGCGCTTTGAGATATAATATGACCTTGATGCTCGAGAAATTAACAAAAAGATTTGGATATTGAGCAGGTGGTACGCGCTGCAGCGTACATGGATTCTGAGCTTCACCACGAAAGGCCAGAGGAGAGTTCTGGGTGTGAAAACATGAAGAAGCTGAAGATAGCCAGATAATATTTATAGACAAAAGTTGCCACTTTTGACATCTACTCCTGACATCAAATCACCTTCCGAAGAACAAACCTGCATCCCAAAAGCAGAAAAATTAAATGCTATTCAAGAAGCACAACCTAATTCCATAGCCTTAGAAATCTGGACTCAGCTGCCCCTCGAGAATTGCGATCTCTAAGTGAAGCAAGTAAATGTTAGCTTTCACATAAAAATTTGTTCCCAAAACTCCATCTCCACCTGAAAGAGCTAATACGCGAAGAGGGACAGATGTGACAACTCTTAGTTTATTCGACCAACTGTAGATTTTCGTAGCATCCTGTACCATGCACGAGCGGTAAAGTCGCAGACGTGGGATTCGTACAAAATTGAGTGAACTGTGAGAGATACAGTGCCATATATCTTTGCCATGCGACTCGCAATCCATGCACGCCCTGAGCTATAAAAGCTGCTGAGCTTTGTTCTCTTATCACCGTCTCAGGTCCAGCTCCAAGAGCGAACACAGCTCTCGAAGAATCACAGCTCCCGGAGGTAGTGCAGTGGTCATCCTCTAGTGTTTCAATCAAAATTCGACGAAATATCTTGACATAGAGTCACAATTTTGAGGTTCAAAGCTCCGCCAGGAACTCATCCTGCTCAAGAGGATCCTCTAAACTAGGTACATCCTCCATAATCCCGTTGCTCTTAGCTGATGCTATTTTCAATTCTCCATCGTTGCCACTTGCACTGCCCAGTCCGAGGGAATTGTCATGCATGCAACTATGGTGAATTTTTACGACATCAGATCATGAGCAGGATGAAAATTCATGCCCAATGTCATCATGACCAGGACGCCTCCAGTTTGCATGACTTCCAGGAGATTGTATTCTTTTACTCTTTTGCTTATAATTTCGATATATCGAGTTTGCTAATCTCCTGTCATCATTGTTGTTCTGAAACGCAGAACATACCTAACATACACATTCTTTAGCGGCGCTGTTGCATCGATACTGTAAGTAGCAGATCCTGAAATGGCACTCGCTCCTGGACCCGCTTCATTCAATCCAGTACCTGTGGCCTACCAAACCACTGGCGATGGTTCTGCAGTACCTGATTGGCTCAACAAAGGGGACAATGCTTGGCAGCTGACGGCGTCCACCTTTGTAGGCCTGCAATGTATTCCGGGGCTGATGATTCTGTACGGGAGTATAGTGAAGAAGAAATGGGCCATCAATTCGGCGTTCATGTCCCTCTACGCATTCGCAGCAGTGCTCATCTGCTGGGTGTCATGGGCCTTCAGAATGTCCTTCGGAGAGGAGCTCATCCCTCTGTGGGGAAAAGCCGGACCTGCTCTGGACCAGAAATTCCTGCTGAAACAAGCTGATCTCCCGGCCACTGGAACGGATTATTTTCCTCCTCTCGCCCCCATGTACCCCATGGCGACCCTGGTTTACTTCCAGTTCGTGTTTGCAGCCATCACTCTGGTATTGATTGCAGGCTCCTTGTTGGGTCGAATGAACTTCCTCGCGTGGATGCTATTCGTGCCCCTCTGGCTCACCTGCTCGTACACCGTCGGGGCCTTCAGCCTTTGGGGTGGTGGATTTCTCTTCCAGTGGGGCGTCATAGATTATGCTGGTGGCTATGTGATCCACGTCTCAGCTGGAGTGGCTGGTTACGTGGCTGCATACTGGGTACGCCTAAAACCCCATGCCTTTCGTGCAATCTCATCGAGATTCGAATTGAATCGAATGCAAGCATTTACTTTTAGCTGGTGAGGGGAGCAAGATTCATGCTTGAGCTGGCACATATTCATTTGAGCTGGCACATATTCATAAGAGCACTTTTTCGTCGTCCAGCAAATCTCATGCATGCTTCTGGTCCAACTTGAAGGTCTTAAGCTGAAGCTTTGTCTCAGCACGTGAGGGAGACGAGTACTCGATGAAGATCACAGTTTAAAAGCACCTTTAGTATTTAAAGATGATCATAGGCAGACATTCATAACATTTCAATTCTTTTCGATGAAATACAATTCATCGAGAATACCATTCAAGTGATTGACGTGGACTTTGTGCATTTTCCAGGTTGGTCCTAGACTGGATAGGGACCGCCATAGCTTCCCTCCAAACAATGTGCTGCTGAGTTTAGCAGGAGCGGGCCTGCTGTGGCTGGGCTGGAACGGGTTCAACGGAGGAGCACCTTATGCTGCAAATGTGATTTCTTCGATGGCGGTGCTCAACACCAACATCTGTGCCGCAACCAGCTTGCTCGTCTGGACCAGCATTGATGTCATTGTTTTCAAAAAGCCCTCCGTGATTGGTGCCGTTCAGGGTATGATCACCGGTTTGGTCGTCATCACTCCGTCTGCCGGTGAGCACAGATCCAATCGATTAGCCACCAGGATAATAATTTTTGTTTTACTTAACCCCCACAAAAGCCCACGACTGTTACGATGTGCTTGCTTGGACTCATAATGCAACTCTCTGATCATGCAGCTTCCAGCTATACGTTAGAATACCTGACATGCTTCAAAACAAATGATGATAATGATGGAACGATGCATAGTGAATTCAACTTGGTTATAAAAGGCTGACGGCCAGAAGCTTTTTAAAACTATTTTTACTTGGATCACGTGTACGTGGCTGAAAGTATGGTTTCATAGAAACCTGATGAATTGACACATTTCGTTTGTTATTTAGCTTTCTGAGTTGCCACAGAAATCTGAGGCATCCATTGACTCACCGACATTCGGGGCAACTCGATGTCTGTGTCAACACGATCTGATTTTGCTAATCTGTTTGGATGGTGGAATTATTCGGATGCTGGTTGTTTGCTGCAGGTTTGGTTCAGGGCTGGGCTGCCATGATCATGGGTGTGTTCGCTGGCAGCGTGCCATGGTACAGCATGATGATTCTGGGCAAGAAGAAGATGTTCAACATCGTCGATGACACTTTGGGCGTGTTCCATACCCACGCCGTTGCGGGAACGATGGGAGGCTGTCTGGCTGCTTTCTTCGCTCATCCAACTCTCTGCAATCTGTTTTTGTCGATCCCTGGTGAGCGAGGAATCATCTACGCAGGAGACGAGCACGGGATCCACGGCCACAAGGCTGGCTTGCAGCTGCTGAAGCAGATCTGTGGAGCACTTTTCATCATCGGATGGAACGTCGTCGTGACGAGCCTCGTCTGTCAAGTGATTAAGCTCGTGGTGCCCCTTCGTATGTCGGAGAAGAAGCTGACGGTGGGAGACGATGCTGCCCACGGCGAAGAAGCATACGCTCTGTGGGGAGATGGAGAGGTATTCAATGCATCGATCCACTCAGGAGAGGCTTACTCATTCCAGGCCCGAACTATCGAAGCGTCGAAACACGAGCCTTCCGTCAGAGCACGAGCACCCACTGATCAGAGTTTGGTCGAGCTCTGAACCGCAACGAGCTTTCCATGTAATAGAGAAGCCAATTTTGACCTTTTTTGAGCCCGAGCTCTTTGTCCGACGTCAATAAGGCCGCCGAGAATCCAGGAGCGGCCCAGTCATGGTTCATTCATCCTTCCTTTCTTGAATTCAGGCCTCATTTCTCAGCTCCGAGAGTTTCAACTTCTGGAGGGATCTCACAGATTGGATTTTTCAACTTTCTCCAGGAGCGACTAAATTATGCTCCGCCAGATGGCCAGCGTTCACACTCATGGTGAAATCAGAATGCTGGAGGATGTGGGATCCTTGTTTAAGGGCATGCTTAGATGTGGGGACTCCCTTCCCCCAATTCTGTGTGCAGAGTAGTCGCCGCATTCTCAGAAATTCTCACCGAGCTCGTCGGGTTTAGTTTGGACGGTAATGACCCTCAACACAGCTTTCTGCATTTGAAGCCTAGTCACGAGATGGGAGCTGACAGTTTGTAGAGCTCTAAATTCTCACGTTGAGTCCCCGTCCCTGTACATAGCTGCAAATTCAATGCTTCCTTGAACGAAACTGAGGGTATGAAATTAGCGCCATCAGTAGACAGAATAGTTTCTGCAGAAAACTTGCTGGTGAGGATTTCTCGATGTATATGTGCCGTCTGGCAGAAAGTTGAAGTTCAATTCATGAGGTGTTTGATGTGATATTACAAGAATTATAAGTGTTTTCACGGTTTTTTTGGGTGATACATTTGGATGAAATGCAAAGTGAGATGTAATTCTATATTGAAAACAATATTAGGGACTAGTGAATAGTAACTAAATTATATAAACTAAAGTATAATCAGAGTGAACAGAGTTCCAAATGTCCACAATTCCAAGTTAATGTCAAATATGTAAAAAAAATAATATCGTGAATTTTAATGAGCTGTATTAAATATGGTACTATGTGATGTTTGTGTGTATATGTGGCTATATTTAGTTTGAAATTAGATGAAATAGATTATCCCATTATATCCCTTATAGATCTTTAGATTTGGTTATGCGTTCAAATTTCAGTGCAACAAAAAGAATTTTGTCTATAAATATCTGAAGAAATTTGAAGTATGGGAAATTATAATTAACTCAAATAAATCTAGAAAATAACTTGCAAGGATTTACTTACAAGACTGGAGACTGAGAATAAGCTCATCTGAAGACATCGAACAGAGATCATTACATAGCCCTTAGTGTGATATGTTCGTATCATTCCATATTTCGTGAAAGTTGAAGTAGGAAACGGGTTTAATTCCAAAAGGTCTTCTTCACCACTCCAGCTGCCACGTCTGAAACATCTGGAATGATTTTTTAGGAAAATATGTCATTTTCGGCAAGCAACCTTTCTTAGATGCTTTCTAGGCAGGCATGGAAGATTTGAACAGAATTGTAGCTAATCAATTAGCAAATGAGTATTGAAATCAGGAAGGCCAAGCTCCTTCCCGACAAAAGCCACAACAGGACAAGCGAGTCAAAAGATTTTCTCTACATCAGGAAAGAGGAGGCTGTTTACGTCAGTCATGTATGTACTTCAGTGAGCACAAATGCAATATAACTGACCGGTCTTATTGAACTGCGCTGGTCAAGACATGCCATGCCTTGATGGCTAAACTTCAGCTCTCATCCATTAGCTTTATGTTAAAGACCAGACAAATAGTGTTTCCCAGCTACTGGGGCGAAGTAGGCGCCTTTGTACCCGTCTGCCGCATCATCGTACACATGATTATTGAAATCTGACTTCAAACAGTGCATATAATATGTGGTAACACACTTTTTGTTTTTTTGCAGAATTTAAACAATTTTAGAAAACAAGTATCGAAGCAGTGTCTGTAGTTAGAAAAGGTTACGTTAAATAGAGTGGATTGAGGAGATCATCACGAGGTCACGAAGAATCGCGAAGTTGGATGTACCAGCGCCAAATGTCTTCGGCGCCTTCGGCAAAAGCTCCTTTTCTGAGGTGTCTCTACTCACGCGCTTCCAGCGTCTAAGGAAGCTACGCTTCCGGCGCAGACACCTCCGGAGGAGATTTTGCTAAAGACGTCAGAAGAACGGCAAAGACCTTTGAAGGCTTCCGACCATGAGTGCGCCTTCGGCGATGCGCCGCTAGCGCGGAAGGGGAAACCTTCATAACGATCTGAATACACGGTAGTTCCAGTTGGTTGAAGTTGCATTGGTGTGGTACCCCACTTTTGGCAATTTTGAGGAAATTAAAACATTTTTGGAAAACTGTACCCTGGCAGCATTGTAAATAGCCTTCGGTACATCAAAACAGAGTGAATCCGGAAGATCGCGGGGATTCTCGAGGGATCTTGTAGAATCTGGGATTTGGGGTGCAGTAGTAAGGTCAGGCACCACCCTCCCTGCGAGCTCCGCAGTTAGGATCTCTACGGCGCAAGGCGCAAAACCCGCCTTCGGAGGTTGCGTCCGCGGCTGTAGGGAAACCCTCGTAATTAGGTAACCCTCGGGCGCCTTGACCAAGTTCGGATCCCGTTGGAAAGAGCTCGACGCGCTGATTCCAACGAGTCCAAGAACGCTTGGAACGGACGAGGACTTAGGGAGTTATCGCTACTGGAAGAAACGGAGGCGGTCGCCTGCGGCGGAAGGAGTTCGCCACCGGCGCGAATTCCGCCTACGCGGAAGGGGGATTCAAGTTTTGTCCTATGCGCGGACGAAGGCGTTCGCCTGTGCACAGGCGAAGTAGGGTTAGGGAAGGCGCGAAGTCCGCCTACGCACAGGCGTTCGCCTGTGCACAGGCACTTCGGCGTCGGCGGGAAATCCGCCTTGGGCCCTAGAAATGCGCCTTGTGAGGTAGAAAGTGTACGACGCCTTCCGCGCCAGCGCAGCGCAGCGTACGTCGGAAGAGCCGCCAGAGTAATCCAATAGGTACGGACCGTGCGGACGGCACGGGTGGATGCGCTCTTGGACGGACGGAGTTGCGGCGGCGGAAGCGCCGACGGAGAGACAAGGAACGGACAGACTGGACGGAGACGGCTGACCACGGTCAACGCCTTCCGCGCCAGCGCAGCGCCGCGGACGGAATTCGCCTGCGCACAGGAGAACGCCGGTGCACAGGAGAATGTTCAAGTTCCGCGCCGGCGGAGAATCCGCCGAGGCCCCTGCCTGCGCACAGGCAGGAGTTGAATTTTTGTCCGACATGCGGACGCACGCGTCAAGGCAGAAGGAGATTGGCCGAGGGGCGGTACGAACAAGTGTACCGCGCAAGGCGGAAAACTCGCCTTCGGCGCTACGCCCCCATGTCCGGAGGGTGACACGCTCGCGGAGTTCAAATCCGCCAATTCGAGCGTGAGAGTTTAATCGACGACGGCGGAGCGTGAAGCCGCGCGTGAGAGCGAAGACCGTTCCAGCGTACAGCCGGCGCGGCCATCAAGTGAGACGTTCTTCACGACCAAGAGACGACCATGACCTTCGACCGGGCGGCGGAGAGCGTCCCATTCTTGAATTCGCGATTCCAATCTCTTGTGCGCGCTGCGCGCATCCATCTGCTGGCTGCGGACCATTCTCGTCGTCGTCGCTCAGGAGATTTCTTGTTGATTGAGGGAGAAGTGAGTGCGCGTGATTTGGAATTGAGAGCGATTAGAGTTTGCCGAGAGAGAAAGAAACGCGGACAGTGCGGAAGTAGAATGAGCGGGCGAGCGAACCCCAGGAACGCAATGACGAGACCGAGCAGATTGCGGATGGTGCCACTTCGCCTGCCGCAGAACGGGCTGCGCGCTTTCGAAGAGCGCTTAATAGCAAGAAAGCTCGATTTCTTGCTATGGGGATGGAATTACATCTGCGCGAATATGGTGCGCGAGTGGCTAGAGCCACAGGGACCACCCTCGCGCGGATTGCGTCCGCATGTTGACCGGTGGACAGTCCAAGATTGGGCGCAGGCGTTGGGAAGATGTGCTGGCATGCCAGGGCATCTCCTTTTCGACAGCGAGAGCATCAAGGTGACCAAGCAAGAAGAAGCGCAATTTGTGGAGCTGTTCAAGACCGGGAGGTCTACCAAGAATGGGTACAGGACCCGTGATTACAAAGATCGATTTCGCCGGACTTTGTCCGCGGCGCTGATGCAATTACTGCAGCCGCACCGCGCCTGCTACATCACATTGTGGCAGGTCTCTTTTGTGGAGTGCGTCATCGAGGGAACTCCAATTCACTGGGCGAGCATCCTGCACAGAGTGATGCGACAGCACGCGTTTGAGGAGAAGGGGGGAACGCTAAACCATCTTTCTCCTTTCCTCATCAATTTTTATCGACAGCGGAATTGTTTGACAGCGGCGGAGCTTGAACATTTTCCGCCATTGTCCATCGACCATCCCGGGAAGTATGTGCGGGAGAACGAGGTCGACACTGATGCGGAGGAGTCACCGACTTCTACCCCATCAAGACGGAGAGACGAAGGGAGACACACCCCTGCAGCGCGAGTGCCGCGGAAGCGGCGATGGAGGGAAGAGGCCGAAGAGGAGCAGCATCAAGAACTCTCTGTTCCCATTCGACCGCGGCCGCTGTGCGAGCCATACACCCGGCCGAAGCAGAAGGCACGCAGACTGGTGTTGCCAGCTGACAGTGCAGACACGGCGACGATTGCGACGGAGATAGGAAGTGCGTCGCCAGAGAGACGAGAGGAAGCGCGGACGACCGCAGGAGCGACGGGCCACGCTGCAACCTCGTCGGGAGAGAGGCCGCCTACGGGCCAAGGGCCTCCGGAGTTACCACGTGCGATGCGGACAGATGTTCCGTTTGCGCACAGGCGAACCTCCGCGGACGGACGAGCCTCCGCGGATCGGCGAACACAAGTGGACGTGGATCTACGCTTACGCGTGGGAAGGAGCAGTCCGCCTGTGCACAGGTCGCCTGTGCACAGGTCACCTGTGCACAGAACACCTCCACACGTGCCGCCTGTGCACAGGCAAGAATCACCCCCGTTCCAACGTAGGAAGGGGAAGGAGCCGGCGGAAGAACCGCCTACGAGACACCGGCCCTCGGGGC